TACAATAAGAGAGAGAAAATGCAACCTTTTATAACATGTTTACTTACTTGGAATGAGGAAAACCATGAATTGAGAAATTTAGTAATTTGGGTGATAAGGAATGGGTATAGGATCAAATTTTCCCCATTAATCAATTTAATTCATGGTTTTTCAGGTATTAGATTACGAATATAAATGTGAAACTCATGTAATTTTTTTATTTCTTATGTGTTGGTAAATGTAGAGGAAGTCGGGAATTAGAATAATTACAATATCCATGTGTTAGTATATGCAGAAGAAGTCAAAGATTAAATTCCAATATCAATTTCAAGTAAATAAACATGCCATTATGGATTTTAGCAGCCTTTATCTTCAACCTTATATTAAGAAAATAAAGCAAGCTCTTATATCTTTGTTCTTTTATGTTCTCTTAGGTTGCTATTTATTTTCTAGTTGCGATGACTCCCGTAGTATGTAGTTAACGTACTACGGGAGTCATTGCAACAAGAAATGTACTCATCCATTCTTTCATTTGGGAGTTCCCAATTTCCTCCATTAGCCTCCAAAGTAGCAGTGCATGCAATGTTGCATTGCGGTAACAAATACCATCAGTGGTTATCTTGTTTCCCTTTCAATTGGAAATGATTTTCATAGTTTCCTTGTTCAAGTAAGCTTTCCTTAATTTTATTTTTTGGGTGATATTCTCCACTCTTCTCACACCCAATATGTTGAAGAATATAAGTATCATATCGGAAACTTGACTAAATAAATCACAACTTATAATAAGTGGTTCTACTTAGAATTGAGGCCTTTTGTGATAAAACCACACACTTATTGAGCTTTGTAGGTGGTTAAGTTAGGGACAATATCAGTGTTGCTAGTAGAGGGCCGCTACTAATATTAGAGCGAGTTAAATGACTGGTTCTGAAATATTGGGCCTTTACCCTTACCTCTTTACCCAATTTGTGGTTGTCACATATTGGGCTTGAATGTTTACCCTTACTCCTTACCCAATACGTGATGTTCACGTGTTGGGCTTAAATTTTGACTTCGATGTGGACTTGGCTCCACGTGTGGCCCACTATGTGGTGGTCCCACGTGAGGGGGCGTGTTGAAGAATGTAAGTACCACATCGAAAACTTGACTAAATAAATCACAACTTATAATAAGTGGTTTCACTCCTAATAGCACCAAGGCCTTTTGTGATAAAAACTCACACCTATTGGGCTTTGTAAGTGGTTAAGTTGGGGACAATATTAGTGTTGCTAATAGAGATGCCGGTGGTCCGTCTCTCTAAAATTTAATATGGTATCAGAGCAGGTTGAATGACTGGACCTGAAATATTGGGCCTTTACCCTTATCCCTTACCCACTGGCGGACCCATGAATTTTTCAGGGGAGAGACAACATTTAAATGGCTAAAAGTATGTGAAGGAAATCCAAGTGTAAGGATTCCATGAACCCATCTACATTATTCGACATGGAAGAGAGAAATTTTGAATAAATAAACATGAAATCTGCGTAAAACAAAATTAAATTAAAAGTTGAGAAACTAAGAAAGGACAGATGCAAAATAAAGGGGATTAAAGCTCATAGATATTTATTAAATAGAGATACATCATTAAGGGAATTTTGGGAGACACAACAAGTTTATGTGAAGTAGAAATCAACTTGAATATTACAAAGTCTCGTTTAGACATTTAATCGAACATGCACATGGTGGGCATCAATAGAAGGGCAAATTCCGGCCACCCCAAAGGATTTTCCAGCGAGGGGAGGTGCAACTGCATCTCTTTGCTCATGTGTAGGTCCGCCAGTGCCCTTACCCAATATGTGGTGTTCACATATTGAGCTTGAATGTTTACCCTTACCCCTTACCCCTTACCCAATACTTGGTGTTCACGTGTTAGGCTTGAATGTTTGATTTCGATGTGGACTTGGCTCCACGTGTGACCCACTATGTGGTGGTCCCACGTGAGGGAGCGTATTGAAGAATATAAGTATCACATCAAAAACTTGACTAAATAAAGAGTGTTACTAAACGAACCCTAAAATTAACAGAGTACACCATATAATTTAAGTAGACCTTAATATTTAAATCAAATATAAAATTAACTAGGTGCACCCTATTTAACTAGCAAAAATTCCCTTAATACACCCTAATATACTCTATCACACAACAACAAACCCATTCAGATATGATAACAAAGTATTCATTAAGGTCAAGTGGCATACTAAATTATTCGGATATCATGGATGAGAAGCTTTGATTCAAAGGCAACAGAAAACCCCTTGTTTTCTCTTTGATTTATCATTCGCCGTTGCCATGTGGTTCTTTAATTAAATGATTTATACTGGATCTTAAATGGGAACAGACAAAAGCAAAGAATATAAAGTTCAATTTAGGGATGCATGTATCATGATGACTTTGTTGGGATTTGGTATCAGCTGGAAAACCCTAGGAAATCCTATCTTTGTATGATCAGTGTGCCAGTGGCTTTTTCTCCTTCAACCACTGAATGGGCCTTCCTTGGTTTTATATTTTTATTTTCCTTATATTTGAATTCTCTCTGCATCACTTTTCCCAGGTAAGCAGATTCTTCAACTCAAATCCCCAAAGTTTCAATATTTATTTCCTTAGTTTTCACCCAAATTGAATTGGGTTTCTTCAATTTTCAAAATTTCAATACACAATTACCAAATTCCAGTTTCAATTCCAGGTATTTGGAGGTTTATTTTTTTTTATTTTTTATTGTCAAATAAAAGGAAATAACATAGTTTTTGGAAGTATGGGTTTTTTCGCTTACGTTTGATTAGGGTTGAATATGGTGAGTAGAATTTACATATTAAAATTACATTTGTTTCACAATTCAATATACTTTTTTGGTCATTTTATATTAGGATAAATTAATAATTCAATAAATAGTTTGGTAGTAGGGTGTACTCAATTAATTTTAGGGTTCATTTAGCAGCACTCCTAAATAAATCACAACTTATAATAAGTGGTTCCACTCCTAATAGCACCAAGGCCTTTTGTGATAAAATCTCACATCTATTGAGCTTTGTAAGTGGTTAAATTAGGGACAATATCGGTGTTGCTAGTAGTGGGCCGCTAACTCTTTTCTCTCAAATTTAACACAATAATTGTAAATCTTCAACTCTTGTTACCCTTTCTATCTCTACTAAATCTTGAAGCAACAAATTTTTTATGGGCACCTATCTCCTAACCACCCTTATACGTATTTATAAGCATGACCATAGTTAACTCTTTGCTTTGTATTTGTGGAACCATGGTTATGCTTATGGATACTCATCAAGTATTAAAAAGGGTGATGATAATAATATACCTTGTGTTAAAGTTGTGAACACAAATGCTCCCCTAAAAGAAAGGCTTAAGAATTCCGAATGTTAACTTCAGTTAGCACTTCTGGATGAGCCAATTGGTCATTACAAATGGTATAAGGGCAACCTAGCCTATTGCTGATGAATTCTTACAACGGCTCCCTACTAACACTAAAAAAACATTTTTTTTTAAATGAAGAAAAATGACTATGAATACTTACCTTCACTAAGAGAGTCCTCCTAGTGAAAAATGGGAAGGGATATAATCCTCCCATACTCTCATACTTATAAATACTACTCAATTAGTCTGTTATGCTGTTTTTGGGTAATACACATGCAAGGGGACATTAGGAGCCCCTTTTCATCGTTAGTAGTTTATTTAGAGTGGTGATTTCCCCACTCCAATTTTATCCATTTACACTCCATTTTATAACTAAAAAAGGAGTGTAAGTGGATAAAATTGAAGTGGGGAAATCATTACCCTTTATTTATTGCCTTCTTGATTTGGTGTTTTAGATGTCATGTTAATGTCTTTGTTATATTGTTTGAGGTAATATATTTTAAATACTTCAAAAATGAAAATCCAAATATTCTAAATAATAAAAAACACAAACTACACCCCACCCCCCCCCCTCACCCCCCTCTCTTTCTTCCCCCTTAACCTACACATACCTACCTTATACTCCAAATAAAAAATTCAAATATTTTGAAATCTTCATATGGTAGGATATAATTAATAAAATTTCAAAAATTTCCTCTTCCCATCTTTCTAGCTATATGAGTCTCATCCGGTCCGACCATGGAACAAGTACTGTTAATTTCTATTTTTTTTCCTTATCAAATTTTTTTGTTCGTAGTTTGAAGATAAAAGGAAAAAAAATTGGATGAAGGAAATAAATTTACAAATTAAAAAAAGAATAGAGGTTAACTGAGCTAATTTTGTGGGCTCAAATATAAAATTCAAACAAACTTATCTTTTTCAGCGTTGTTGTTGTTTTTTTTTTCTTTTTCCCAAATTTAATTTTTCAAATCGATATCCGAAAAAAAGAAAAAGAAAAAGGATTTCTTGATTATGTTCTTCTAATGGAATTATTGTTACGGAACCCAACAAGGAAATATTAAGTAATAATTCTATGGTAATTAAATCGTATTTTTAAATTTTAAATCACGTTTTCAAAATAAGCACTCTTGTTAAAAATAAAACACTGAATTGTTACATATTGAATAATTTTAATATTTTATCTTGGAAATAAAATCTCCTAAATATCACTAAAAATCGGAAGAAATTCCTATACATAAATCGAAAAGATTTATTTTCCCTTTTCACAACATTAGATATTTAGGAAAAAGAGAGAGTTTTTATTTTTTATTTTTTTTGGGTGTACAATCTCTGGGCCTATTGTCGCCATATTAAAAAAAAAAATAAAAATAAAAGGAAAAACAAAGAACTCCGTTTCCAACCATTAAAGAGGCTTACAAAAATTCCAAACAAAAAAAAGAAAAAAGAAAAAGAAAAGAAGGAACACTCTTCTGGCGCCCTTTACAAACCGAACTCTTGTTCAAACTATATTTTTTTTTCATATACACACAGCCTCTTTCTTCTTCTACTTCTTGGTATAACTTTTCTTCTTCACCCTTTGTCTGCAGAAGCTATTAGTATTGATGGAAGAGCAGAACAACATGGTCACTTCCTCCCAGTCTCCACAGACTGAAAGTAAACCGAACAATGAAGTAGAGACTTTCATGGAGCCTGTACAAATGAATTTAGATCAATCCGGGGCCCCCATTGGAAGAGTAGAGCTAACAGGAACAGATGTTCTTGTGAAGAGGAAGAGGGGTAGGCCGAGGAAATATGAAATGGTTGGTGAGGGAAATGTGGTGCCTTTAGTATCAGCATCACCCGGTACATATTCGGGTTCATATTCTGAGAGCTTACCGAAAAGAGGAAGAGGACGACCTAAAGGTTCCGGTAAATTGCAGCTCTTGTCTCCCCGTGGTGAGTTCTCTGCCTGATCTTCCCTGAAATCCCATAAGGATATGAATTTAATTAGAGTTGTGTTTGTTAATTTTCCAAATAATGGGGTTGTATTTGTTTCTGTGTCTTTCTTCTTCCACACAATGGTTCTATGTACGTTGTTTTCTATTTTCTCTAATGGGGTTGTATTCATGATAAAAATAATTGTTGTTGTTCCTATTATTGGATTTTTGGAGTTAGAATTGGTGGAATTATGCATGGTTAGGACAGGAATTTGATTTTCTTTTTTTCTCTGATGTTGGTTCTATTTGTGAAGGAGATCCTCATATCTATTTGATTGAGTAATTTTTATAAGTTTAATTATTATTCTATACAAAGTTATTCGAACGAACTTTAACATGCTATTTACCAAAAAAAATTAATTTATGTAAGCAGCTAGATTAGCATATTTCTATCTTCTAACATCTACAACTACTTCTTTTTCTGCAGGTGGGTTGTCTGTGGATCCGGCCGGAGGAGGGTTTTACACTCAAGTACTGACTGCTGAGACTGGAGAGGTAATTGTTAGATAGATCTGTGAGACGTCTCAAGATCACTTTGATTTTAGTTAGTCTTGGTTGTTATGTTCTTTATTCTATCTGCCACAAGTTTTATGGCTTTATTTTGTTTTGTTTTGTTTTTTTCTGCAGGATATTGTTCATAAGATACTTTCATTATCTGAAACGAATCCTCGATCACTTTGCATTCTTACTGCTACTGGTGTGGTTTGTAGCGCCGTCATACGCCAACCTAGTTCTTATACTGGTATTTTGAGATTCAAGGCAAGATTCTCATAAAGTTGGAATCTTTTCAGTAAATCCTTTTCTTTAATTTGTTTCTCTCAACAGCGATGGATGCTATATATATTTTTAGGTGTGACATCTTTAACACAACTCGAACTCAACACGAAGTAAACATGAGTAACTCGAGAAAAATTCGTAAATAATATGACTTTCTAACTCAAATAATAAACATGCCAGGTTATAGAGTTTAAACAAGAGTGAGTCCATCCTGACATAACTAACTTGTTTAATGGTATTGTATGAAGAACATAATCATTTCTCCAATTCTTTCCATTTGCTTTGATCTGATATGATATAGATCTATGTAGAGTTATAGTATTCATTTTCTTGGTTTTGCTAGCATCTAAATGAATATCTTTATATCGTGCACAAGCGATACATTTAGTTTAGTAAAATGGATCTTACCTTAATTAATTATGTGGATCAATGAGGACACGGTACGGTTAATAATGATAAGTATCAAGTCATCAAACATGATTACATGTTAGAGTTCATGAAAATTCAACACAAATCCAATATGACACAACACCATATAACTCGTTACCACCCTTACTTTTGTTCACTTGTGTATCTAAGTTACACATTTGTCATGTCTTGTGGAATGCTAAAACACGAGCAGAAATGTTTGAACCTTGTTGAATGAGGCACATGATTAGCGGCTAGAAAACTGAAGACAAAAATTGATGCCATACATATAACAGCCATCAACAATTTAACATTGAATTCTCTGTTCTCTGCTTGATGGTGTCATATTTTTTTCATATAAGATGTAATTTCCAGCCATATATTAGCTTTTAACATTGAAGGGTAACTCTTTATTTCTTACTTTCTCCCTTCATGCAGGGCCGCTTTCAGATTCTTACTCTATCTGGATCATTTGTATACGATGCAACGCAAAATCGACGAGGAAAAAATGGTATGTTAAGCGTTGCACTGTGCCATCCTGATGGGAATATTTTTGGTGGTGCTGTTGCAGGCGAATTGATAGCTGCTGAGCCTGTTCAAGTAAGTTTCTTCTTTCTTTCTTTTTTTTCTTCTTCTCTTTTGTTGCTTTTTGTGACTCTGGAAGTAGACGTTGAATTGCCAATGTTGCTCTAAGGACTCTTTCAAGTGACTGAAATTATTTGGTCCACAAAGTTATGACAAAATGAATTAGTAAGTACAACAGTAACAGAGTGAAAATCAAATATCTGGTATTGAACTATAGTCTTTATCCAAGGTAATTAAAAGTGCTTGAGGTAATTGCTCAGTCTCATTTTGGGTTATTTCATTTATCAGATCATTGCTACCAGTTTCCTGCAAGAAACCAGCACCAACACCAGCAAGGAATTGACAAGGACGCACCCAGCTGAATCTTCTACCTCGACTAGTATGCTAGGCAATTCATCATGCTTGGCAATGGTTCCCTTACTAATGCCTCCACCAACAATAGTTCATGATGAGAGTTGCATTTCGCCTACATCTGCTCTCTTGGAATTTCCATCCCATAGTGGAGCGGGTAATGTCATTGCTGCAAACCATAACATGAACCCTGCTATGCTTCTGGGTTTTGGTCAGAATGCCTTGCAGCCAATGCCAGATCCAACAACATCTCCTCACATTGACACCTTTATTCCTCAGACATAAAGGTAGCTCTCTCTCTCTCTCTCTCGCACACACAAAGACACGGACAAGAGTAGACTGATATGTATGTCTATGCAGATTTGGTGACTAGAGTTGAAGTGTTTTATCCAGTTTGCAAGGCCACAGTGGAAGATTTCTACCAGTGACTGAGATACCCGTATATGAGATCTTCGACTTGTTATTGTTGTAGTTTTGATGTTGTAACTTATTGTAGATTTTGAGCTTTGCTTATTATTGATAATGTGGACTTGGAGTTGCATGAAGATACTGTTAGACTTTTGTGGTAGGAAACAGAAAGGTGCCAGAAACAATGCACCAACATGAGATCAAATCTCTGAATCCAATTTTTACCTTGAGACTTTTCAATGAATATTGCTGCACCAAAGATATTATTTTTGAGGAGATGGTGTACACATTATATTAATTATGTAGATGTCAACTGACCCAAGAACAGCATGTCTGTAAAAAGCAAGTACAAATGAGAATTTCTGTAAACTAGAAAGTCATAATATTATGTTCATATAATTTTTACTTTTGACTTGTTTCTTAAACAATTCTAAAATTCACCCATCTGATTGATGGATCATAAAACAATTCATGGGTGCAAGGGTGATTATATTTGCTTAATGTGTTCATACATTAGCAAATAACCGATAACTGTTGGCATCGAGGCTCATTTGTCTTACAGCAGCAATTGCAGATATAACGCCCAAGATTGAGAAAACCACAGCAATAGTGGTGTTTAACAAGAAAATGGGGCTCTTTTTAGGGGGCTTAAAGGTCAAGTTGTAGAACACAACAGGCAAGATGAAGTCAAGGGGTATGAAACCAAAAGCCCCAATAACTGAATTGATGTCCCCAAAAAATGGAAGCATTGCTGCTATGGTTGTTGCTAAGACAACAGACAGCGAGCGAAAGATTACCCTCGGGATCACATTGCGAGTAGAGAACTCTTCGCTCTTTGGATCCACAAATGCTCGTTCAAGCACTTCATTTGTTGGCTGCAGATAAACCTGTACCAAAGCAATGTAGTTTAGACTACTAGTTTTAGTGAGTGTTTGGTTCCAGGAAAAAGATTGAAAAGAGATTGAGGTGGTGTTTTTTGATTTCTTACCACACCAACAGCTGATAGTTGGAGTATGGTGAAAAGGTTGGTCATGAAAATGAACCACTTTGGCACCAAAGGTTTGCCGTCATCCAAGAAGTTGCTAAGTATGAGGCCTTCAGCTTGGTTACCAAATGCCCAATAGCCAGAGATAGCAACACTGGAAAAAGTCATTGTAACTACTGCATAACAAAGACATAATCCCTTGAACATCTTTCCCTTCACTGGCGGTGCTATTGTTGCCTATTAACAAAAGTTACATAATTATTAGTTCCTAAAGAAAAAACAAAACCGGTTTTGGTAGCGATTGGCTTGAATGGAAAAAACACGGTTTCTCAACTAGATTTTAGTGCTTCCTAGAGAAGACTTGATAATCACTTCTCTAGAAAGCGCAGGTGAATACACAATGAGCACTTGGGTTTTTACTAAGATGTTTTTGGGTGCTTCTAACAAAACCAATTAAAAACACTTCATTCATAAACAAACTCTCCCAAAGAGCCCCATTTAATACTCGAATCCGAAAGAAAATGAAGCAAATTCGAGGATAACTGGACTATTTTGAACCTGAATTTCTGGAATGATGCCATTGCCAAATGTTGTAGCAATGATGGCATTGGCATTAAAGACCCCAAAAACGCGATTTTGAGTGTTGCCCTTCAAGGAATAGTCCTTATGCGGCCCTTTGGAAGAACTTCCTGACAAAATATAAAATTATGCTTGCTAAGTTTTCATCTCATGGCAGGCAAGAAATTGCTATCATAAATGAGTAGCTATTACCAATGTAGATGCAAGCAGCAGCGGTACAAACGCTATAGGCTAAGCAAAGAACAACAGACACCAAGTTGATGTGCCTCAGTGAGTGAAAAGATGGGATTTGGGCCAAAAACAGCATCAAGCATCCAAATATGATCACAAACTCGTAAAGCTTCATAGTCCCAGTTGGGTTTGACAGCAAGTAAACTGCCTGCAAAGAAAATAAAGCACTTTAACTAAATAACCGTGACAAATAGCATACTATTGATAAAAAATGAAGACATCTTAGGTAGTGTCGAAGAATTAAAATCACCCGATTGATGTGATACACATGATTTGTTGGTGATTGCACGTATCTGAATTTTACAATAACCTTTTGTGTGCCACAATCGAGTGAGTCGTACAAGTTAAGAGAAAGGGTTAAAAGGATTAATGGGATTACCTTCATGCATTGTCCTCCCAAAAGAGTACAGGCTACAACAGCACCATAGCATACGAGGAACTGACTTGGGCCAACAAAATAGCGACTCCATCCAGGCCCTGAAGAATCCAGTACAGTTTCAATTAAATAATGTCAACCTTTTTTTTCTTTTTCATTTTTTAAATATTGAAAGAGACATAATTCATCATATAAAGCAAAATACAAGGGATACTCAATTAAGACCAACCTAAACCGGCCTCAACCACACATAAAATCACAAAACAAAATCGTAGTGGATGCAGTGGTTCTGTAAATCTTCTTTATGTCTTTAGTTTCTTATTATTAGGTTTTCATAATGTGGCATCGATTTTGCTCACTATTTTGTATATCGATGTATTGTTTGCAAGGACCCCTTTAGGTTTCAGTTTGTTTTCACAAAATCCCTTTTCTTTGATTGTTCGTCTAAAATTGATGATTTCATTGAAAATACACTTATGCAAATGACATAATTAACCTCAATAAATGTATATGCAATCTAATCTCAATGGATAATTTTTTTGTATAAAATCATCAATCTTTGAACGAAAAATCAATGAAAAAGAGTTTTGTGAAAACAATTTAAAATCTTAAAGAGTGTTTGTGTAATTTCTGAAACCTTAGGGAATTTTGTGAAAAATTCGAAAACCTCAGGGAGCAAGAGTGTAAATTACTTTGGAAATTAAACACAAAGAAACAAAGATTCAGACGTGGCCAGGAGAAAAAAAAGAGAGAGAGAAGGAAAAAAACAAATTTAGACAGCTCAAATGGCCAACCTTGAAGATGTTGCATAGCCAAAAAGGAGAAATTGACAAGGGCCATTACAGTTAATGGCAGACAAGCCACATTCTTTTTGCATTCAGGTTTTTTTCTGAAAATTTAAAAATGAAAGAAAAGGATTTCATACTGATATATATACGTACCTAGAATGTCATGAGCCATGTCTCTGAATCGGAGATGGCGATGACCCAATTGAGCATAATGTTCAAGAACCAAAGAGAGTAAATTGTATGAATAGAAGGTCACGATTGCTCCGATGACCAAACAAAAAATCCCAGCCGCCCATCCAAGGAAGGTGAAAGCATACGGCAGACTCAGCAGCGCTGGAGCAACTATTGAAGTTGTCAAGTGATAACCGCAGTGCACCCATGATCCTACATCATCAAAATCAAATTGATACCAAATTTGACTAATTCGCTTCTTCTTTTCATGCAAAACAATCTAACTATATAATATAAACTGCATGAATTCAATTATAGATTATTATGACACACTCCAGAAGCATGAAACCAGATTTTTGTAATTGTCATACGGTAAAAATACAAGTTTTTTAAAATCCAACATATTATACATGTACATATGTATTCTTCACGTTTAATACACATATTTTTAACATATTATTGACTAAAATATCATGGACGGACCCATGATTTGAAAATGGCAATTTTCCTTACGTTCATATCTATTGAAAACCCGATGGGACCAATGAATTTTATTAAAGACAAAATAAAAAAACATCGGGGACATAATAAGCCTTACCCCTCAAAATGCTATTACATGTAGATAAAAACATACTTAAATAGTTAAATATCTAATCAAAATCCATAAAACATTATCTACAACCTTGAATAGTTAAATATCTAATCAAAATTCAGAAAATGTCATTAATTGTAAATAAGAAAATAGGCCTTTATCTAAGGGCGGAACCATAAATTTTTTTACGGGTGGGCCAGCTAAAATTTTAACTTAAAATCTAATTATTATTTTTATTAAAAAACTTACAGTTTCTGTAGTTTTTAATAAATAAAAGTATAATTAATTCATATATATCATAGTTTCATTAAGTAATTTCTAATAAGCTTTATCATAAAGAAAAAAAATACATATTAAATGTAACAACAAAAAATACATATTATCAAAATGAATATATGAATAGGTTGTGTGCTCTTTTACTTGCTTGATTATGATGTTAAATTTGATGTTTGCAGTTGGAATATATCTGTTAATTTTTTATTTATTTATTTTTGCATCAATCGAATAAGCTTCACAAATGCAAAGTACAAAAATATAAATAATTAAATTAAGATATTGTGCCCTTTTTAAAACCCTTTTCCCACCAAAGGTAGCAGAAAAAATGATATTTTATTAAACACCGCAAAAAATTAAAAAAGAACAAAAATAGACTGAAAACAAATAATATTTCCTCTTCTGGAGGTCTAGCAGAAAAACAGAAAAAAAAAGGAAAAAAAAAAAGTCTTGTGGAAAGAAGCAAACAATCTAACCTGTTTCTTACACGTTTATAGATATGGGTTTTGATGATCTACTTGTGGAAGGAAGCAAACAATAATTAAACCAACCAGACTGGAGCATATAGATATACATATAGGTTTATTTTTGTCTTCAAAACCTACTGGGCTACAGCCCACCGTAGTCGTGGTTGTAGTTCCGCCCACATCTTCAATCAACATGTTAACAACTAATCAATTTATCAAAATTCCTAATTGACAATTCATACAAGCGAGAACACAAAAGTCATTTTCAAATTCTATTTTGCCATCTTAAGAGAGAGAAAGAGAGAGAAGAAAAGTCAGTCTAGAGGGGTTAGTTAATAAGATTTTTGTTGAAATTCTACATTGTGTGGATTCTACCATATTGCCATTCGACATGGCAAATGGTCTAATAATAGTAGTCGTAATAAGCTATAATAAACATAGTTTTTAAAATATTATAATAAGCTATAATAAGCATAATTTCTAAAATATAATAAGCATAGTTTCAGCAAAAATGTATAAGTTTATTCGATATGTGAGATTGTGAGTGACTACATGCGGTCAATATTTGCTTCTTCAAGAAAAATAATATTGTAATTATTTATCACCTCATTAGCGACGGTTACAGGATTTGAAAATTAGGTAGACAAAACTTACATACTAAATTTGACCGTTTAAGTGAATTTTATTAGGGAGACTTTGAAAAAACACAAAGGAGAGAGAAATTTTGTAAAAGAAGCCAAAATGGACAAAATTGCCCTTATTTATTTTTGGATTTTCTAAGGAATCCTTTACATTTGCATGTCTTTGATTTGAAAGTTGAGAGGTTTTTCTGTCTTTTTTGAAAAAACTTTGGCTTTTTCCAAAAGTGAAATTTTTTTTTTGCTAAACATAAAGTAAACAATTTTATTAATAAATATAGAAGATAAATATATACGTATTCATACGACACAAATAAGAATAATCGAAGTCGACTAGAAAAATGAAGTAGGAACCAAATGGTAAAGGACAAAATGACGTAAAAAGACAAATATGTGAAAGACATATTAATGAAGAAGAAGAAGAAGAAGATGATGATGATGATGATGATGATGCGATGATAATCAAGACAAAGAAAAAGAAACAAAAACTAATTAAAACAAGTTGTAAATTAATGCTATAAAAAGAAAAAATATCTCTGAAGGGCGGTCAATACCTTTGGATTTAAGAACAAAAAGAGCACCAGCATCAAGTTGCTTCTCCTGGTCATGAGCTTCTTCTTGGCCAATAACCTTTGCATCCTCTGAGCTTGGTGGCACCGGCAGCGTCCCCATCTCTCTCTCTCTCTCTCTCTCTCCTCTCTCTCTCTCTCTCTACTGAAAAAGGAAAGAGAGCAAAGAAGTGGGAGAATCAATTCTGGAGATATTGTGTGTGTATATATAGCCGACTGGCACTAGAGTCAACGAGGTCCCCTTGATGATGCGCAACTTTTCTTCATCGTCGTCATCAACATATTATTATTATTATTATTTTGGATGTAAAGGAAAAACAAAACAAGTAAAGTGGCAACGTATATACGTCCTCTACTTAACAGTCAAACTTTTGGAGCTAACATTTTGGAGAGAGAGAGAGAGAGAGAGAGAGAGAGAGAGAGAGAGAGAGAGAGAGAGAGAGAGAGAAGGGGGACGAGAAGGACCATAATGACCCTCCATACCATGATACCGACACGGATTTATTGGTTTTTTATCGAGTTAATTTGTATATAAAAATAGTGTGGGCAAATTAGATGATGCTGTCTGAGTTTAGATCTATGGTTATTCTCATTTTTAATCTTAAAATGATTCCTTAAATTCTGACTAGTCAAAAATGATTCCTGAATATTTTATTAGTGTTTAAATATGATCATTGACTTGGCGTTTGCTAGCGTTTTAGTTAAACATCATATTGAGTCGAGGACTAATCTTTTATTTTTATAAATCGGTTATCTAATAGAGATATATTCTTCGTATTAAAAGAAGTAATCAGAAAAATAATCAATAAATATGACACGAATATAACATTATTGTACTTTCGTTTGAGCTTGCATGAGAAATATGGAACACAACTAAGGACTAATTTGGATATAACTTATAAGCTCACTGCTATTTGCCATGCCAATTCCTTGGGCGTAAAGATCCTTTTGCTAAACTGCGATTGATGTAAAATGAGGTGCTTCAATATATTTCGAGTGACGCGAAAGATTGATGTAACCTGTGTTGTTTTTTTTTCTTCTTCCCAGTCTAGTCCATTTACCATACATAGCCTCTGCTATCTGATAAATCATTTGGTTTGGCATAGTTGAGCTTCAATGATTCAACAACCTAATTAAGGGGACTTACTTAGACCTCATTTGGGTTCAATCGCAAATATAATAGTTGATTATCTCAGTTAAGTATGCTTATGGGTTGTCTGGCTGGAGTGCGCATATGTTATGTATTGACTATCGTCAGTTAACAAACTCAAGGCAATAATGAAGATCAAGTATCTTCTCTGCCTATTTGAGGAAGATGTTTTACTATCTTTTTTATAAATGAAATCTGATTTTCTCTATAAAGAAAAAGTATCATCTAGTAGGGATGCTTGCAGTCGAGCGTAATTCGGTTTAAGCCTCAAATCAATCATCGTTAACATCGCAATTTATTTTGATTTCATTTAGCCTTCATAATCATATTCATACCAACCAATCAAATTGCATAATATATTTTGATTTTATTTAGCCTTCATAATCATATTCATACCAACCAATCAATTGTAGAATAATATAAAAAATAAATCCAAGAAGGATAAAATAGGAAGATGCATAGTTTAACAAAGTTCCTCATCACTGTACACTGTCAGTGTAACTAGATTACGTCTGACAACTTCACAACCCAAAGCCTTTTTACCCACACAAAGAACAAATAGATAAGGAAATAATACAAACTCCCTCTCTATATATACAAAAGAGAGCTTTCTCTCTTACCAAAGCCTGGTAGGTATTTCGACCCCAAAAAAAACGTGGTGGGTATTCCAATTCTTCTACTCATATTTGCAATACAAGAGGCTTATACATGAGGATAACAAAACCCTATGGGCACATGGCTCTATGGCTCTCACATGACCATTTAAAAGAAAATGTACCACTTCATATTGGACTCACATTTAGAAAACCCAATAGAAATCAAGCCAATATTAGGCTTAATTACACCAATGCTTCTTGAAATTTCAGTTAAATCCCACTTTGCCTCATTAAACTCAAAATAGCTCACTTTCATCCATTGACCGAGGTTTGGTGACACACTTTATCCCTTACCATCAACTACATCCAAAAATCTATTAATTTTGATGACGTGGCAAGGGTGTTTTTGTAATTTCGTATACATAAATCATTATCCACCAATTGAGTGGGTGACATGGCAAGTGGAGCCCAATTTTTAATGACATGGATTCCATGTGGACAAAATAAATAATAAATAATTCTTCAATTAGAAAAATTAAATTTAAAAAAAATATCAAACCCAGCAGCATTCTACCCCTACCCCGTGTATCAACCCTACCCACCCAGCCCCCAACCGCCTCCCCACCCACATAGCCCCACCTTGATTTCCCCCACTTGCGCACCTCCCCAGACCTCAAACCCAATAGCCTTGACCCACTCCACAAAACCTCTTTGATTGGGGCGCTGCGAAGAAATTGATGGTGGGAATGGGTTTGAGAGGAGGGAGAGAGGAGGAGGAAATGGAAATGAGTTTATATCTTCTTCCATTTCTTCTCATTCGTCTTCTTCTTCAGGCTTTGTACTCTCCGACAACCCGAAAACCCACAATTCTAAGCCCGCCCACATGTTTCTAGAATGACCCGAACTCGACTCCTCTATTTTGAACCAGACCCAACACCAATCGCTCCAAACCCACTAGAGGAGAAAAAGGAGGAGGAGGAGGAGGAGGAGGAGGAGAGAGAGAGAGAGAGAGAGAGAGAGAGAGAGAGAGAGAGGAGAGAGAGAGAGAGAGAGAGAGAGAGAGAAGAGGGTGGGGGGAGAGGCAAAGAGGGTGAGAAAGGAATATGAGAGAATGAGAGAGTGGGCTAGGGAGGATTTGTGGGTGGGGTTTGTATGGCTTCAATGGTGGTTGGAATGGGGTGTGCGATTTGGGGTTGGGTGCTAGTGGTTGATGGTGAGCCATCATCTGGGGAAGAGGTGGTTGAAGTTGGGGTGAGGAGATGGTCGGAGATGGGGTGGGGCTGCTGAAATTTCTGGAGAAAATTTTCAAGTTTTGGGTATGTGTTGTGGGTTGTGTGATTGGGTGCGGGTTTGGATCGAATTTGTTGCAAGTGGTAGTGGCTGGGTGATGAACAAAAGTTATATTTCGCAAGTGCACAAATCGATATGATAGTATAGCAAGCAAATACGAGAGTCGTTCCCACGTAGATTTGTAAAGTTTAAAAATTAATTTCAAATATGAATATCTTAAGAAAAATATAAAATAAAAATGAAATATTAAAAGTACTAAAGTAGTCAAAAATAAGATTACTCAATTTTAATCCAAGTGTTGAAAATCAAGAAAATAAAATTAACAAAGGTTGGAAATTGGTTTTGAAAATCAATGGATGAAAACAAGGATTCCGACTTCACCATAACAATCCTATTCTATGTATTGAGTTAATTTTGAGAATAAAGTTTCAATTCCAAGGGTTCGTTCTTTATTATGATGATTCGTTCGGCCTCGGTGTCACCAAGTATACTCAAGTAAGCTGATATATTCATATTTTGCATATATAATCTGTCTTTATTTGCATTGTTTTCATGTGAAATTGGTTAGTTTAATGTGCTTGGTGAAGATTTTGTAGGAAATCATACCTAGCAAGGCTTTGGAGCAAAAAACTATAATTTTGGAAGCTTAAGGGATCAAAATGGGTGGAGTTATCATCTCAACAAAATCTCAAGAAGTCACTCTGTCATTTCATCAAACACCTAAGGTGCATCTGTGCAAGTGTCAATTTATATCCACAACTGGTCTCAGTGACCAGCGCTAGAGAGATTGAGTTAGAGAAGCTTACCATCACATTAATGCCTCTCTCATGAAGAAGAACCCAACGTAAATTGCTGATACTGTAGAAATGGTGGGTTGCATCATCTGAGCAATTGCAAGAGATGCTAGATGACAAAATAATGAGATGGTCAATATGAATGAATTGCACTATTGTCATCATTAAAAGCTGATTGGCTTAACAATTGTGAAACAATTGTTGGTTACCTTTTTGATTGAGCCACCATGGTCAGCTACTTTTGGAGCAAAGCGTGGGTATCGGCTGGACCCTTGAGCATACTTTCCTATTTTTTCTTTAAAACCCCAAAGCCAATTCCCTCTTTGACTTGAAGCCGCATGTAACTTCCTTTTGAGAATAGGTATTGGTTTTTCTCATACATTCCTATTTTTCCTTTCCTTCCTAAATAAATATTATCTTCCTTATTTTTGGAGGAGTCCCTTGGCCTATAAATACAAAGCTTTAACCTAATAGCCAAATAATCTTTTTCCACCATCGTTTTCTCTACCATATTTTTCCACCAACTTTCATACAACCAGAGAAATATCAGAGGAAGCCAAGAATTTGCTGCTGCATTATTTGAGGAGCTTTTGAAGGTGTTCCTGTGAAGATTCTGAAGATCAAGTCCATCGGCCAAATTGGTTTTATGACAATAATTCTCTTGTTTATATTTTCTTCTGTTATGAACTAATTTCCCTTGCTAGGGCTACGATGTAGCCTAACCATGAATGCTCAATTTTTATAGTTATATTAATTCCTTATTATTATCCCATGTTGAGTATTTGTTACTGTTCTTAATGATTTAAATATCTAGCTAATATTTAATTGATGATCCAAGCGGAGACTGAGAGGAGATGTTTGGTGTTTGCTTCTTGTAACAAATATCATGACTTGAATGAGTGCCCGAGAGGGACTAACATGACTCATGTAGTTTTCTTGTAGGTTCTCATAGAACTTAATGGGTTCTTGGTTTTCTAAATCCGTTGCTTGAGAGAGAATGGGTTGTTAATTGAGAATACTTTTGGTTGAGCCCGAGAGGGGATATCGAATGAATTAGGAGAAACCAACTGTCAACAGGGATAGTAATTAGGGTTAATTGGCTATAAGAATTAAGTAGAATTGGTTATGGTGAAATCGGATGCTCTAGTGTCTCATCATCTTAATTTTCTATCGTTAATTAAATTGTTATTTTTCATAATTGTTTTAATTTTCTTGAATAAATCAATCTTCTTAATTAACTGTTCAAATAAACTTCTAAATTAATCATAATTGGTAGTTAATAGGAAATTACAGTCTTCGTGGGAACGACACTCTACTTATTTCTATATTACTTGTACGAATTGTGCGCTTGCAATATAAGCCCAACTAATGAACCCCATAGCCAAATTTAATCAAGAACCCATTAAGTTTAAGAAGAACAATTAAGAACCAAGAAGTGTCTTAGCTTATATGGCTTAGAATTGGTTTAAATGGGTAAGGATTGATGTGGGTGATGAAAGAAAAGGTTAAGTGTTAGCTTCAACAAAAGGTAAACGGGGCACACAAAAGGATGGATTAAGGCATTTTAGTGGTGAAACATGCATAGTCTAACATCATCACTTAAGGTCTACCCAACTTGAAAGCAACACACCTATACAAAGTGAGAAAGTTCTCTAGTATCCAATGCAAAACCTAATGAGATCTTCTAATGAAGAACAAAATTGAAAAGTGTTTAAGAGTAGAAACAATAAAACCCTCTCAAAGAATGGCTTAAAGCTGAAGGGTAGTCTCTACTATGCTTCCCCAATCATTCTGGTATGATACTTTGTCCACCAAAACATTAAGAGCATGGCAATGTGAGTGCAATAGATTATGATGCAAAAAATTTCGTGGCAACACTTTAGTAAAGAATTAGTGATCAAAGCATAGCATATATGTCTCTATTAGTAAGCAAAAGTAGTACCTTAACTTAAAAAACAAAGGTTTCAAAAACTGCAAAATTTCAACTTTGATCAGCGTCCAGTTTTCAGTGAATATTTTGAAAAATAATCCATAGATTTTGACCAATTCTATATTCCCAGAAAATAGACATAAAATTACACAACTTTCATTGATACAAATTCCCGAAATTTGTTTTGGAAAATTGTGAAAACATACATATAAAGTGTTTATACCAAAATCAACAACCAATCAAAGCAGGACACGTGGACAAGAGAGCGCATTGGCAGGAAAGCCCACGGCATCTTGGCCTACCGATCGCCTTATTAGGGCAAGATCACCTTCTGGACACGTGGAGCATCCACAGTGAATGCCAACAGTCCCACATCGAAATTCTACACAACATGCACACCTCTCAAGGCTTATAAAAAGGGGCACTAGTCCCAAAATGGAGGTAGTTGGAACTTTCGGCATACTAGTCATTGCTCTGTCCAGATTACTTACTAAATTCGTACTTACTTAAGTATCAGAGAGCCTTCGGTCGATACCACACCGGTGCCCTAGGTCTTACTGAGTCTTTCTTATCTTGTAGATCAGGCGCTCCTACCAAGGCCCAGAGCATTCCAAAGGCCCAAACATCACTAAGTTGAGCCTAAAAGTGCCGAGCCACTTTTTCGCATCAACATAAAGCAAAACATGTGCAGAATCGTATGACAGACTTTCCAGTTTTGAAGTGCAAATATGATCATAACTTCCAAATGAAAAATCAGATTTTTAAGCTCTGGATATGACTGGATTCAGCACGAAAAAATGTAGAAGGCAAAGAGGGCCAAATCTTCAGATTGATTACCAGGAAAACAATTTTAACCAAACATAAACCTTACGTTTTCTGAAACAGAAAAAAAAAACACATAACGAAAAACGAAATACACTGAAACAAACAAAAACACACAAAGAGTTCAATTCCACACCCCCAAACCTAAACTAAATATTGTCCTCAATGTTTAAAGCATAGATAGAATGCACTCAATGGTTAGGATAAGCATGGTATGCATGAAATCGAAACACAACAAACAAAAGATAAAACTGAAAACATAAAGCATGAAATAAGTTACCTAGGTGGGTTGCCTCCCACCAAGCACTTTATTCAACGTCTATGCAAGACGGAGGGCATTATCTATGGCTCAAAAAATTCTACCGAATCCACGAATCCCGAGGGGCCTTCCAAGTAAAGTTTGAATTGATGCCCATTGAGTTTAAACTTATACCCATTCCGCTCGTTCTCAATTTTAATTGCACCGTGAAGAGACACTTGTGTCATTTTGAATGGGGTCGAAGGATGGGGCAATCTAGAGGTAGAGGTAGAGGGAGAGGGAGAGAGATAGAGGAAGAGAAATGAGAGAGTGAGGATTTTTTTTTTCTTTCTGTTTTTAAAAATTTTAATTTTATAATATTTTTAAAGAATTGTTTAATGTAGTTTTTATTGTTTTTATGTTTTTTTAATTATTTTTAATTATTAGAATATTTAATTATGTGGAGGTAGGCTCCACTTGCCACGTCACCCACTTAATTAGTGGATAATGATTCATGTGTACGAAATTAGAAAAACACCCCTACCACGTCATCAAAGTTAACATACTTTTGGATTGACGGCAAGGGGTAAAGTGGGTCACCAAACCTCGGTCAATGGATGAAAGTGGGCCATTTTTAGTTTTGGAGGGAGATGGGGGCAAGTGGAATTTGATCAAAGTTTTAGGGGCATTGGTGTAATTAAGCCTATTTAAAATTATATAATTAGTTTAGTGTAAATGCAATATAATATGAAAGGTAAAATTTGCTCATAAATATTGTTTGCTAGTACCTTGTTTACATGGTTAATACAAAGATGGAAGCATATTAACCACACATGGTTAATCTAGATACATAGAAACACATCGGCAACATCAAGCGGACAAGGTATATCTTCACTTATAGCCTCATAAGTCCAAAGAAATTTCGTTATAAAAGCCACAAGCCTGAACAAGCCAAACATTAACCGCAATGCCTAAAACTACCAATACAACTACAAATTTTAAACTCTTATTAGTAGAAACTACAAGTTGATATTAGACTACAAACAAACACCCAAATCACAAAGAGGGTGCAATTATTACAACTCAAGAAACTGTAATATCACAACCCACTCCCTGTAGCAAGATATTGTCTGCTTTGGGGCCTGCCCACATGGATTTGTTCTTAGGCTCAAGCTTATCCTATCTTGCTCAAAATGTGTCTTATTAGATGAAATGCCAAATGCTCTTATAAGGCACTTCACATTTCCCTCTCCGAGTGATGTAGGATTGTTCACTGATCTTGCTTCTTACAAAGCGCACGAGTCATACAATACACCCCCTTTGAGTCCCAGCATCCTCACTAGCACACTTCTAGTCAGGGTCTAACTCTGATACCAAATTGTCATAGCCCACTCCCTGTAGCAAGATATTGTCCAATTTGGGCTCCGTCCTTACACATTTATTCTTGGGCTCAAGCTTATCCTATCTTGCCCAAAATGGTTTTTACTAGGTGAGATGTCAACTTCTCTTATACGACAATTCAGTTTTCCCTCCCCGAGTGATGTGAGATTGTTCACCGATCTTGCTTCTTACCAAGCTCTCAGGTCTTACATGTAAGCACCCAACTCACCAAAGATTCCAAGGATAACATAGCCACAAAAGTCTCCAACGAAATCACCAGCGCAACCAAGTGGAAAATCCAGCCAAAAAACTAGTAAACAACCCAAGAGAGAAGGGAGGAATGAGGAGGGAGATGAGGGGGAAGGTTAGAGAAGTAGATGAGAGATGGGAGGAGAGGGGTGGGGAGGCTCTCCCCCTCCCTAATAAAAGGGGGGTGGCGTTGAAGCTAAGTTCCTAAGAGCATCTCCAAGGGAGATGTCAAATATCAAACATCAAATTTAAATTTGATGACTGATGTGGCAATTTGACATTTACACAGTTTTACACTCCACCCGATATGTTAAATAAATAATTATTGTAACAGTCAAATCATTTAAGATAAAGAAGAAGAAAAATAAAAAAATAAAAAAAATAAATGAAAGTAATAGCCAACTGTCTTTAAAAAATAATAAAATATTCATTTGACATCTTGCTTTTGGGATGTCAAAAATAACATCTCAACCTCCAGCCTTCATTCCACATCAGCTTTGACACATCGGTTGGAGTGATGTGAGATGTTATTTTTAGCTGTTAAATGAATATGTGGCACTTTTGACACATTGGTTGGAGATGCTCTAAGGGTTTTTTTTCTTTCTCACGTACGTAACTTATGTACTAGTGGTGAAGGTTTGCTAGTATTTAGCGAAAAGAAATTATTTTTAGAGATAGATTTTGGGGACTACAAATAACCGATTTCCTCTATATTTGATAGTAAATATAGAGGAAATATATTTCTCTCTTAAGATTTTTTGCACATTACTCTAATAAATACATGCTGACAAGAGCCTAGTCGGTCAAAAGAATTTGAAGGCCTTATGAGAAATAAATGTTGAGGCCCCTTTTATATAGAAAGAAAATTGAATTGTAACCAATAAAAATGAAATATTGGTTCACATTTTATTTTATATTAAAATTATTAAAGTAGAGGTTTGATCCAATGCGAATAATAAAAGACAATGTCCATTGTGGCGTAATTCTACAGTGAGGGTGTCATATGTGGACCTCTCATGTGGACCTTCATATTAGCCACATGATCATTTCATTAAACTTAAGTGAAGTTACTATTCAGATGAATCATGTGTGGTTAATATGAAGGTCCACATTCATGGTTCATGTATGGCACCCTTACCAGAAAACGATTCATCCATTGTGTTCAAAAAATAAAACAGAGCAGAGATGGAAAGCCCAAAAATACCAGTCGAGTACCTTGCAAAAGACCTTTTTTTGCTCTCATTTACTGGGCTTACTCATCTCCAACATGCCCTTTATTTTTTGGGGCTTGCATAGGCTCTAGGCCATGCCTAAATAGAATTGTAAGCATTAGATGTGTATGTGCACTGTTTTGCTTGAGTAAAATCTTAATTAATTACCCCACATCACTGCAATAAATGAAAAACCTATTTCTCTTAATTTGACCTATAAATGTTTCTCAATAATATTTAAATAATCTACCCAAGCATATTGCAAGCAAAAACATACTGTTTGAACCAAAATTGGAAACCACATGCTTACTAACCTCAAGCATAGTGACTAGTTATGAGAGGAGTTCCAGACAATGGTTCATTTCAATGTTGGAAGTGTGGATTATTAAGTTCCAGAAGATAATACTTTTGAATATTGGATCATGGTAAGGAGAGTTTTGCTTTCAATATTTGGCTTGTGCTCTTTAAAGTTGAAGAATATATAACCAGATGGTTTAAAATCTTCAACGGCCGTCATCTAGGAGATCAGGGACAGTGGTAAGTTGTTTTGGTCAAATAATCAGTAGGGTGAAATCTAACTCATTACTATTTAGTGTATTATTTGACAACACTAAAATAAAATAAAACTCATGGCATGCCTTAAGTGTGTGGGAGCTTACCTTCTTGTTATACCCTTGGTAAGTGGCATGACCTTTATCATTATGGTATTATTATGTCTTTCATAAATTGCAAGAAGGAGTGAATCCTTTAGCTCCAAGTATACCATTTCACCATGTTGATCTAGTATATTTGTTCTGCTCCTTTCTGGTGACAAGTGTTATACAGTAGTCGCTAACCAGGATTGAAATATGCCATCAGAAAGTGGGGTTGGAAGCATGTTACTGTGTTTGGTAGGTTTGATAAAGGAAGTGGTACCAAAAAGTGGAAATGCAACCACTGTAACCTACGTTATAATGGATCCTATTCTCGTGTTAAAGCACACCTACTTGGGTTCTCCGGTGTTGGGGTGAAAAGCCACCCAACAATAGATAGGTCTTTAAGAAAAACATTTCAGACCTTAGAGGATGAGCACCTAGCCCTTAAGAAGAAAAAAAACTTCTGGATGTGCAAAGCCTAGCAAGCGCATTCAGACTTACGACCAAGTCTTTGTGTTACTAAAGAAGATATAGATGAAATAGTAGCTAGATTTTTTTATGTTCATGGATTGAATGTCAATGCCATCAACTCTCCTTACATTCATGACAGGGGAAAGGCAATTGCTTCTTTTAGCCCTGGGTATGAACCCCTCTCAATAGATGAGCTTTTTGATTCTTTCTTAAGTAGAGAGAAAGGAAGGATAGAGAAATCCTTGGCTCTAGTTAGGGAGTCCTGGCCTCACACCGGATGCACAATATTGTGTTTTGGTTACTTAGAGAGCATGCTAGGCTGCTTCCACATTAATATATTCATCTCTAATCTGCGAGGGCTTATGTTTCTGAAAGCAGTAGACATGGGTGATACTGATGGAGCAGACAATGTATTTGTAAGTGTTATTGATGATAACTGTTATGGAAGTTGGGCCCAGCAATGTGCTTCAGATAATCTCTCATCTAGGCAATGCTGGCAAATTATCTGATTCCATTATGTTGTCAAAGTTTCCTCATATATTTTGGTCTCCTTGCACTTCACACTTTATATGCTTGTAGATGGAAGAAATAGCTGAAATGGACTTATTAAAACCTGTTGTCTTATGTGCTAAGGAAATTGAGCAATGCATTACGGCATATCAACACTTTACTCCTTGTAGGTTCAATCAAAATCTGAAGGGAAGCTTTGGTACACTTTCTGTGGAGTTTTCACCTTCCTTCAGCATAGGATTTTTGAACTAAAGAAACCACTTCAAGAGTTGGTTGTCAGTGAGAGGTGGAAGCAATGGAAGATTAATATACCATATGAGATTTCAAGTATTGAAGCTACCATTTTAGGGGATGATTTCTGGCGCAGTGCTCATCTGTTGCGATTATTTGAGCCTTTTGTAAGATTGCTTGGTACGCTTGATGTTGACAAACTTGTCATGGGAGATGTCTGTGATTGGCGGGTGCAGGCTCTTGAAGCTGTGAAAAGTAAGGATGTTGATAATGGCACATTGAGTCAGTTGGAAGAGCTAATAGAGAACAGAGATAAAATTGTAATGAGAGGTTGGAAAGCCACCCTAGATAGATATGAATTTGAAAGCGCAGACCGGCGCGCAGGCACTTAGAGAGCAGCTCAACTCTTACTGGCGACTGGAGGGCTCCTTCGGAGATTGAAGATGTTGTGGATTGTAGTGATAAAATGGACCCAGTTGCATGATGGGAGAACTTTGGATTTGAAACACTTAACTTACAGACACTAGCTGTGAAAGTTTTGAGTCAGGTTTCAAGCATTGCAATGTGTCAAGAGAGATGGCAAGAGTATGAGTTTCCAGGTCAAGAAACGGCCAGCAGATTTGGAGTGGACACAGAGTGGAGGATCTTGGTTTTGTCAGAAACAGTCTCAGACTAAATAGCCAAAGAAATGGGATTACAAACTCCTTACCTGTCCCCAAAAATGTAAGTTTATGCTCTTCATCTGGAGCCAAGACATGGGAGGGTGCTCATCTTGATCAAACAAAGGTGACTGTAAGTAACCTGATAATCTTTGTTACTGGTGCTCAATATTTTGTAGTGCATTGAGGACTGCATAAAGTTATGGATGTATATCTTTGCTTTTCTAGGCAAGTTGTGATTAGGGTGTTATTCAAAGAGTTCTTCAGCTGTCATATTGTGTTTGACCTCTCTTGTTCAAGAATTCTTTGCACCATATGGAAAACACAACATTTATTTCTAGTCCATGATATTGCTAATTGCTCACACTTAAGAAGTATGATTGCAAGACCTAATTTGACTTTTTATTTATTTTTAATTTAGTAACTAACATTATGTTCTATGCAAAAAAAAAAAAAAAAAAAAAAGAAAAAAAAAAGCCCTCTTGGTCCTTGATATAGGACTTGGACCAAATCCCTATCTAACCCATGAGTTGTTGATTGGTTAATGGGCCATTAAGTCCAACTTCTCTGCAGATCCTTAAATCCAGACAATTTCTCCTTTTGCTCGGTGGATCTTCTGGCCCTGATATTTTATAGACAGAAGTCGCCCTTCAATTTGTTCTATCATTTTATATCCTAATCTGCTGACAACATATGCCGTCAATTTGTATCTTTTAGCAGACAATAAGTTACGAAAAATCGGAATGTAGTTACACAAGTATTTTTTTAGTAGATGTGTGCTACTGATTATAAGGAAAATGCTAGGGTCAGCGTACATAGTAATAAAACGAGAAAAACTTTCCTGACACGGACATTGTGCACTCTCTATCTCACTCCTCATTAGTGATTGGAACATCGCAATAAGCCAATCTCATATTTATAACCAGAACTAAATCTGAATTTTTCATTGCATGTAAATGACTTAAAGTAATAAGAATGCTAAAATGTGAAATCTAAGCACATGAAATGAAGTAAAAAAATGACATATCACTTAAATGAGGGGGCCTAGGGACTGCGTCCGTACATATGAATTGTCGTTGTTTGCTAAATTCAAGAACATCTGAACATTGTTAGACCAGGGCACTGAGCATAAATCATGGCACAAATCAGTAGATACAACTTTTTTTTGAAGTAGCTAGTGGGAAAAGCAACCGCAGCCCTTAGTTTTATATTAGCTATATGGAGGCTCAAGTATCTGCTTTACGTGGAAATTAAGCAAAAGCCAAATTGGCAGATTATGTATTTGGTCAAGCTATAAGAGAAAAAATGCAATTAAAAGACTGAAAAGCGGAAATAGAATTGACAAGTAGACAAAAGACGGTGAAGACCATTGCAGATAATATGGAGTTAGTACTTAATGTGGCCACAATGTGAGAATAATGGTGGGGATAAAGGATGTTAAGACCTAATTTTGTCACAACTTTTGAAGTAAAGAAAAAGCACTTATGTTACAAGTTGACAAGTGATGGGGAATAATAAAGAGAAAAAAAAAAAGAAAAAGGAAAAAAAAAAAAAAAAAAAAAAAAAACAGCTTGATTTATCAAAAGGGGTCCTAAAAGGAACACGCAACGCAGTGTTTGATGTACTAGCCCTGGTGCGTATGCATATACTTTTATGGAATATATAGGGGTTGGTTTATCAATGTTACTAATGAAATACTTGGAGTTATAACTTCAATCAAACAGTGTAATCTAAAGTTCTAAGCTCATGGATTGTTTTAGGGTTTTGGTTATGTTGGATTTGTGGACTTTGTTTGGGTTTCTGGTTAATTGTGGTGATGTGGGCTAACAGTTTTAGTGCGGATTTTGTCCGTATTAGTTTTGTTTTTAGCATGTTAGTTTGTTGCCCTCTTGGGATTGGTATTTAGATGTCTTGTTGATGTCTTTAATTGTACAGTTGAAATTTATCTAATAAAGTTTCTATTAGATAAAATTAAAATTAAAACAAAAACAGTGTCATCTAACTAACATTCATTCTGTTTTAAGTTGAACAAGACGGCATGTTACCAATTCATGCCCACTACCCTACTCATGTGACACTTAATCAAACTACTTATTAAAGCCATAATAATAAAGCTCACGGGCCCTTTATACATATATTGTCATGTAATATCTATGACATCCACCTTCAAATCATAACATAATGAGAAGAATAACCTACTTAGATCGGGATGCCATTATTTCAAGCCGATCCTATATTGATATGTCTACGTTTTAATTTTTTCATGTGACAGTACGTGTTGTCTTAAGATACTGCAATAATGGTATTCTCCTTGCTAATTAGGAACCCCCTAATTGGCTATTTTCCTCTAGTCATGGTATTATCAATTAGTGTGTGCTTAAATTCAGAAAAAAGATCAAAAAGTCCCAAAGTTGATAGTTCATTAGAGTTTATTACAAAAAGTACCAAAGTTGATAGTTCATCAGAATAATGATGAGGAGGTTGATGTATGTGTTGACGACATTCATGAACACCTCAAAAATCCCAATGTCTTTGCTCTGAGAGGTACTGTTTTGTCCCTCATTCTTCAAACTTACAGGTTTGACATTTGCTATTTTGTGGATGCTTTGTCTCCATCGGTGTGAACTTGCATTTTGAAAAATACACAAATTATTGTCGCTGTGTCATATGAAGATGTCAAATTAATTAAATTATTGATAATATTAATTTCTAATTAATTAATTTCTTTTTTTGTGAAGAAACGGGGCTAACGCCCAACAAAGAAATTAAACAATGGCTCGAGGCCTACAGACTCCAAGCAAATCTTCACTAAGAAATGACCTAATACTGTTAGGAGGGGTCCTGGAAAGTTGACAGATCCAACTCAGCTGGTTTATCCACTACCATGTTGCACTCACGATATACATGATGAATAGAACAAACCCAGTTTTTGTTTATATAGTCCTTGCATCCCCACAACATAGTAGCAAGAGGATGAAGGTCTTCCACATTTTTGTTAAGCAGGTGTACCGCGGTCGCTGAGTCAGACCCAACTCAGCTAGTTTATCCTCTAATTAATTATTTGAATGCGTGATTTAGAATTACAATCTGCCTACAACATTATAATATGTTTAATTACTAGTCAATTAGTAAGTTAATATGACACAAAAATCACCGTCTCGACCCACTTCACAATCAACTTGAACTTATTTTTCTTTGGTATTTCATTGAAAAATCATCTTTGTAAAAATTCACTCAAATTGTACTTCCATATGGATACAAAAATGACAAGTCATGACCCAAAACGTAACGATAAAAGACTCATCACTTAAGCATTTTTCTTGTCAGAATTATCAATCAACTAGCAAGACAAAAAAATTATGGCACTAGTGTGGTGAGCCAACCTATTGTGCAGGCCATGAATGGATCTTGTGTGAACTAGAAATTTAATTAATTAGTCTGTCTAAATCATTGTTTAATTTTAAAATAAAACAGTTTAATTGTTAGTATGTAGCTCTCACATGAAAATATGGGGCACCATATACACACGAATGATTGAATATCATTGGAAGTCTACTATTCGGTTAATTAGTCATGTTTAATTCTAAATCAATATTTAGAATATTCGAATATTTGATATAATTTCAAACTTGGATAATTAAGTCATTTCAACTTGGCAGGGTCATGAACATGTGCCATTGACATAAGAAACACGAGAATTGAAAAGGTCACAAGCAAAATACAATTAGAAAGCACAATCATCTATAAATAATTAATTAATATTATAGGCTAACTTACCTGCCACCATGAAATATGATTTGTCAACTTAGTCACATTAGTTTACTTACGTTATTATTTTTTTGTCATGGGGCTAATGTTAAATACAAATGTACATGGGGCTAATTACTCTAGAAGGTAAAAGAATTTTTTTTTTTTTTTTTTTTTTTTTTCTCTTTTCATCCCCTTATCTCCTAAAAGAGAAAACAGAGGAAAAGTGCATTGCTTTTCGAACACCTTATAAATGTTACAAAACTACCGCGAACGCGAAGTAATGTAATGTTTTTATTAGGGCTAAGAGCATATCCACTAGAAAACCGATTAAATCGGCAACATATTGGTTTAATTTATTTTTTTGAATTCGGTGCATAAACCGAACTGAACCGGTGATTCCGGTTTGGTGGTTGGGAGTGAGATTGTATAACCGTCAGAGCGCCAAATCGAACTGATTTTTTATGGAAAAATAAAAAATTATTGTTAATATATACATGGCAGACATTCATTGGAGGTTTTTTACATACCCTACAGCTTACCGCAACTGCCACTCCCACTGCCACCAACAACCAAGGATGACATTTTGGAATGGAATACACAGTAGCTGCCTTTCATTTTGGTTTCTAATTTTTTGGAATGTGAACACATCAGCTGCCTCAGATTTTGCTTTGGTAATGTTGTTGAATTTGAATGGAACAGAACTTTAATTATTTTGGTTTAAATTGTAAGCCTTTATAAAGGCTCTTTAATGATGGATTTTTTATGATGAATGTTGGGATTACAATTATGAATATGCGATGTTGAACGTTGGATGAAGGATGTTTTGGATTGTGCTAGGAATCTGTTACAAGAATGTAGGATTTGAAATGTAAATCAGATTCAGGCCTTGAATTTGGGCATGTTCTGACTGACTTAAGCTAAAAAAATAACCAGGTCCGTTGCACCAAACCAAATCAAAACACCAACTCTGGTTAACTGAAGTGGTCGATTCCTCCACTCTTTAGTTCGATGTCAGTGCCATCTTTCTTGAAACCGAAGGCTACGGTTCGATGACCGTTTTGAGCTCGGAATCGAATCAATCCGGACCGAGCCAACATTAGTTGCTATAAAACAAAACAAAAATTGATTTGTTTGATGCAAATGTATAACAAGAAGAATAGGAAATTTGATTATTTTCCATTAATTGACTCACAAAATGTTAGAAAAATACAAATGAAAAAAGAATTCAAAGTAAATGAACACTACTGACCAATAATAAACAACAAAT